GCCGCTTACCCGCGCTAGAAAAAATCAGTCCGGGAACTTTCCGGACAAACTGTGTATTCCGTTTCATGCATATGCGCACATTATCTTATTGCATGTTACGTGTACTATAGAATTATGACGAATCTCAGTCACTGCACAGAACGTGACTAAAATCGTCCAAGAAACGAGCACACCTTATTACTTCCACCATGCCATGTACTTTATCCCGAGTTTTTTCTCGATAAATTTTTGATACAAAATATCTCGTCAATTATACCTCTAATAAAAAATTTAATCATACTTTTCTTAATAAATGTCATTACGAGCTTTCGATTGCAAGAAGTACGAATTAAATTGGTTCAGTCGATCCTGAGATCTTAAATCTTACGTCTGAAAATACAAGAATCTGTCACAAAGATTCTTAAGAATCAGACTGCGTAAGCGTTACTCAAGCCGCGTTCACAGCCGGTTCTCGCTCGCAAACGCGTTCAAGTCAAACACTTTCAGCGCGTTCATATATTGGAACTTGAATATACTGTGTGTAATTTTTTGTTAGAGAGCTGCATACGAAAAGACACAGCTGTTTCCGATCCAATTGGTATATAGCAGTTTTTAATTTTGCTTCTACTATACATAGATTTTTTCTATTACCAATCGAACTCGGCCATATTAAATATAGACAGCTTTATGATATAGTTCTTATAACTGATGAAATGTAGTTCTTATACCTGATGAAATGAAAAATGTAATATTTTTGTTGATATTTCTGCCATATTTTAGTAGATACACAAGCATACACAAACAGACATATATACTCAATATACACGTTTACATATAGAAACATTAAAAAATAAACATCTCATGTATGTATGTCTGTATATATAAACACTTGTATGTATTATTGTGTGTGTATATATGTATGCATGTATGCATGTTTGTGTGTGTGTTTATATTTTTAATTACTCTTTTATTTTGTATAAATTTATTTTATTTAATTGTTTACTATACATATTGTTTGAACTAATTAAATTAATAATAATAATAATAATAATAATTTAATTTCATAATTGTAGTAGTTGTAGTTGTTTTCTTGCTATTTCTTCTATTCCTGAAACAAACATTTGTATATTATTAAAAATAAAGTTTTGTTTTAGTTATTATTTTCATTTTGCATTTTTTTACTTACTTTGTTTGTATATTTTCTTTTTCTAAATCCCCAGTTATATAGTGCTGCCAATAATCTATATAAAAATCTCATAAACCTTTCTTGTTGTCGCGCCACACCGGCTCTACTACCTCTCGGTCTTCAATTTCTCTGATCTGAAAATAAGTATCTAATTTTTATTTTTTGGACTAAATAAAATATGTGTAATATATGTAACATTACTTTTTCTTTACCTGAGTCGATTGATCTAGGAGCTGGTCCTGAATTTATTTGCGAAGTGGCAATTGATGTTTCTTTCAAAGTTATCTGTCTCGCAAGAACTGGAGTTTGAACGACTGGAGTTTTACCTGTTTATGTTCTGCTTGGAACTATAAACAAGAATATGTAAGTGATTAATATATTTGTGTGTTTATATGTGTGTGTGTATACATATTATATATTTAATAAGATTTATATTTTTACCTGTTTGCGAAGCATATGCAACGTCTGGAGATTTTGTTTTTTGAGAGCAGCTAAGTGCTGCAATACAAACAATATAAAAATTAAAACAGTTGTCAAGATGTGTATATATTATATGTATTATGTACATATATTATACAATTTATATAATTTTATTATTTCTTACCTGGAAAATTATGCATACTGTCATTAGACAGAGTTTTTGGAGGACTTGCGGATCTTCCTGAAATCGCAACACTAGGATTTGCAGCAGGATGTCTTTTTTCAAATGACGAATCGTCGCTCAACAAAAATACTCCTGCGCGATACAAATAAAAATAAAGAACAAGATACATAACAAGATAGAGTGTAAGAGAGAGAAGAGAAGAAGGAGAAAAAAGCGAAAAAAGAGGACGAAGAAAGAGAAATCTTTCGAGATATTTAACGCTACATAACAATATTATTTTCTTCTCCTTCTCTCCTGTCTCTCTCACTTTCTCGCTCTCTCGCACTCTCGCTCTCTCGCTCTCTCGCTCTCTCGCACACTCGCTCTCTTGCACTCTCGCTCTCTTGATCTCTCGCTCTCTTGCACTCTCGCTCTCTCGCTCTCTCGCTCTCTCGCTCTCTTGATCCCTCGCTCTCTTGCACTCTCGCTCTCTCGCTCTTTTGCACTCTCGCTCTCTCGCTCGCTCGCTCTCTCGCTCTCTCGCTCTCTCTCTCTCTCTCGCTCTCTCGCTCTCTCGCTCTCTCGCTCTCTCTCTCTCGCT